GGTGAAAGGTGTGGTAGCTTTACATAGAGTCAATGCCAACAAAATTGCGGTTGTTTTTAAACAATACAACACTGCAAATAATTTCATCACAAATACAGACTTTTTAACAAAGCACAACTTGAAGGCGCATATTCCTGCAGCGCAGATAGAAAAAACTGGAATCATCCGATATGTGCCTACCAACATTTCGAACAAGGAATTATATACGAAACTGTCTTCGATTTATGAAATTATTTCAGTGAGAAGATTCACGAAAAAAGTCGGTCAAAGTACTGTAGGTCTCGAGACGGTCAGTATAACTTTCCTATCAAATGTTCTGCCCGACAACATCCAATATGACCTATTTTCGTTCAGGGTGTTTGAATATGTCCCACCGTTACAACAATGCTTCCGGTGCTTCAAGTTCAACCACCCTGCGAAAATTTGTAATGGTAAACAACGTTGCTCGATATGTGCTGGGGAACATAATTTCAGAGACTGTGATAAAAAAGAAAACCTGTGTTGTGTCAATTGCAGTGGTCCCCACCTGGCCATTTCCAAATCTTGCCCAATAAAAATGAAAAAAATACTTGAAAAAAAGGGTAAAATTACTTATGCCTCTGTAGCTAATACAATTAAGTCATCTGATTTTCCGTCTTTACCTGCACAGTCGAGCAGCATTGTTAAGACCCTACCATCAATAAACCAAAATGTACATAAATTAAATAAAAATGTAAAAATTGTAAATAATGTAAATAAAACAGTGCCTGAACCCAACTTGAACCAAACTCAACTTAAGGCTCAAATTGCAAACAATAAGAATATTTTGATGGCAATGGTCCAAACTTTAGTCGAATTAGGTAATAAAACAGATAATGAACCTGTGACTACACTGTTCATTAAAGACTTACTTTTAAAAAATCTGTCACAATAATGGACAGTACAGTACAGAACATACAGCAGTTATGTATAGCTCAGTACAATATTCAAAGTATACATAGGAAAAAATCCTTATTGTCTAAATTTTTAGATGAGCAAAATGTTGATATCTGTCTACTCAATGAAACTTGGCTGAAAGATACTCAGCATTTTAACATTTCGGGATATAATTTCCACTATCATAATGCCCAAAATGAGCATGGTGGAGTAGCAATTTTGATCAAACCGTATTTTAAATATAATATTATTCAAACCAGATTTTACCAAGACATTCAGACTGTGGCATTATTGTTATATGTAAGTGGTAAACAATTAACGATTTTATGTGTATACTGCCCTCCATCGAATGGTAACTTCAGAATAAGTAAACTGCGTGATATAATTAGAGATTTGCCTAAGCCAATATATGTGGCTGGAGATTTCAACGCTCACCATGTGGCATTTGGGTGTATGACCACGAAAAGTCGGGGTCATCAGTTATACGATTTAATTGATGAATTTGATCTATGTGTCCTCAACAATGGTAGCTTCACTACTATTAATTATCCTAACCGAAATCCATCGGCTATTGATGTCAGCTTTTGTAGTGCTTCAATCACTCCACTATGCGAATGGTGGGTGCATGATGATTGTATGGGGAGCTATCATTTTCCTACGCTTACTCGTGTTTCATTGTCAGTTGATAGATACCAAATTAATCCTCCCATTGAAAAATTCCTATACAACAAGACAGACTGGACAAAATACAATGAGCTGTCTATAACTGCTTTTTCTAATTTTGAAGTTAATAATGAGAATCCATTACAGTCATATGATGAATTTATTGAAAGGCTTGATACACTTAGGAGAGATACTGTGCCAAAGTTTGTCAAAGCAAACAACTATCGTTGCAAACCTCCAGCACCTTGGTGGAGTGACACATGTGAACAGAGTGTTATTAAAACTTATGAAGCTTTAAAACTGTACAGAAGAGATCCAACCATTGATAATTACATTAATTACAAAAGACTTAATGCTGTTAAGAAAAAGACTATTTCAGAACATAAACGCAATGGTTGGGCTAACATTTGTAATACTTTTAACAGAACTACACCTGTTAGTATTATTTGGAAATACATTAAGTTATTTAAACGAATAAAATGCAATAATAGAACATATAAAGACGAATTTGTAGTCCCTCTTTTAGACAAATTATCTCGAAATGGATGTAGGGTTATTGATAATCTAGAAAGTTATTTTGAAATTAATAATAGTCTTCAGAAGTCCAGTTTCCTCATAGAACCCTTTACTTGGAGTGAGTTTTGTACAAGTTTACAATCCAGACGAAACACAACCCCTGGTTTAGATAATTGTCCATACATTTTGATCAAAAACCTAAATCAGTCCGTACAAAAGAAACTATTAGCTAATCTTAATGCTCTTTGGCACTTAAAAAAAATTCCTGAATCTTGGAAAACACAGTGTGTAATCCCTCTACTTAAACCTGACAAGCCACCTGAAGATCCTAATTCATATCGTCCTATATCTTTGTCATCTTGTGTTGGAAAGCTTAATGAAAACATGTTAAAGATGCGTCTTGAGTGTTATGTAGAGGCGAACAACATCATTCCACATGTTCAATATGGCTTCCGGAGAGGCAGAAGTTGTGCTGACAGCTTCATCTCTCTCTTGTCAGATCTGAAATATGCCAATAATAATAATAAGTCCAGTGTTTGTGTTTTTCTGGATATTGAAGGTGCGTTTGATAATGTAGATCCTGGCATTTTGGTTCAAGTTCTTTCTGACATTGGTATACCAGGCATACTTTGCCAATGGTTATTTAATTTTTTAATAGATAGAACTTTGTATATAAGGCATAATAATATTCTCCATGGTCCCAGAAGGGTCTCCAAAGGTACAATGCAGGGGGCTACATTATCTCCATTGTTGTACAACATATACACTAGTCAAATTCTTAATTTTGTAAATATAGAAGGTGTAAATATTTTACAATTTGCGGATGATCTTGTAATATATTGTACAGACCATAATGTAGATAGAGCTGTAAATAGTATAAATAATGCTTTAGAGCAATTGTACATATATTATAATGACAAGTTGGCTCTACAGATTAACCCTAACAAAAGCAAGGCCATGATTTTTAGTAAAGATTTTCCCTCTAATGGCATACTCTACAATAATCATCCAATTTCAGTTGTATCTAACCATAAATTCCTGGGTGTTGTCATTGATAACAAACTTTGTTTTAATTTACACATCAATCACATTATAACTAACTCTCTTAAGGGCTTAAATATTATAAGATGTTTAGCTGGTGTGACTTGGGGTGCAGACCCCAAAGTTTTAAGTATGCTATATAAATCTATAGTCAGAAGCCATTTCGACTACAGTTGTTTAGCCTACTCAAATAGTAGTTGTGTAAAAAAACTAGACATAATTCAAAACAAAGCTCTGCGAATTATTTCTGGGGCTATGTGTTCAACTCCCATACGAGCTATGGAAGTTGAAACCAAAATAATGCCACTGTGTCTTAGAAGACTTCTGCTAATAGAGAGATATTTACTAAAGCTGGTATCTGGTAATGATAATGTTCTCAAAAAAATAGTACCTTTTCCTTTACAATGCTCGGTCCAGCAGACTTCGGGAGGTGAGCTTTTACAAGGTTATTTTCCAGTTTTGCCTCTCATTGTACAGCAAATGAATGAAGATTTTAAAAATGTAATTAAACAATCAAAGTGGACATGCTACACATACCCATATTCCTGTATTATATTTGAGACCAATATTGTTACCAAAAATTTTTTTAATAATTGTGAATTATTAAGTTTTATTTCCGACAATAACTACTATACTTTGTATACAGATGGTAGCAAAAGTGAGCTCTTTGTGCGCAGTGCCGTTTATGATCCACAATGCAAGTTTGGTCAAAGTTTTCTTCTGGACCCTAAATGCAGTGTTTTCACTGCAGAGGTATATGCGGCCCTCGAGGCCCTGAAGAGGATTGCACATATAAATAGTTTTAATAATTTTTTAATTTTAACAGACAGTTTAAGTATGGTCCAAAGTTTAACTAATCTCAGATTTGACTTTAAAAAAAACTATATTTTGTATAATATTAAAAAATTGTTATTTAGTTATGCAAAAAAGGGTATACAGGTCTCTTTCATGTGGATTCCATCACATAGGGGCATAACAGGAAATGAGATAGTAGATAAAATTGCACGTGATGGAACCAACATGTTGGATGTTAGCTCCATAGTAAAAGTACCTTTGACCGACTGTTATCAATCTATTGACAACCAGGTCAATAGCTTATGGGTCGAATTTTGGAAACAAGATCAAGAACAGAAGGGTAAATGGTATGGAACTGTTCAAGAAAAACTACCTGTAGCACCATGGTATAACAAACTGAAAATGGCCAGTCGGGACTTTGTTACCACTATAAATAGACTGCGCTTTGGTCACTCCACCGTCCCGGCCCACCTGGCTCGATTGGGCATAGTGGAGAGCAGTTACTGCACCTTCTGCAATAATTCTGTTGGTGATATCGAACATTTCATATTTACATGTGAGTGCTTTTCATTTGACAGATTGATTCTTGTCAGTGAAATTAGTGACATAGTGCAAAATCAAGTGACAGTGCAAGATCCCTCCCGCCGCCTGAGTGATATGTTAAAAAATAGATCCTATTACGTGCCTCTATATAAATTCATCAAAAATACAGTGGGGAAATTATAATAAACCGAATAAAAATACTCAAGACTTGGCCTAAAGGTCTAGATGCCAGGCCATAAACTCCAAAAAAAAAAAAAAATATTACTAGAATTAAACATCCTTGGTTAAAAGAAGATACTCTGTGACTAAACCTCTCGGTATTGGTAGAGTAATTGTGTTCTGTGGACTAAACACTTCAAACAGAGCAGAGTGAAAGTCAAAGTAAGTTTTTAAGCTTTTTACTGTTTTTTTGGTAATGGTTATTGGTTACTTTACAGATACTACTTAACTTACAGGACTATTAAATTGGGTAAACTAAACAGCATATTTTTAAATAACAAGATAATAAGTTTAAGACAAATATCAAAATGACTATGAGACCAGATGATCATCGCAGGAAATGGGACAAAGATGAATTTGAAAGAATTGCTGCGGAACGTTTAAAAGCAGAATTAGAAGAAGAAGACGAACGCTTAAAAAAGAAAGGTTGGAAAAGCAAAGATGAAAATTATTTCGGTATGGATTGTGAACGGATTTTATTTATTACCATCTCAATTTTACGTTTCAGCACCACCAGTAAAGAGGGAACTTTTGAAACAACGTGACTATAAGGTTGATTTAGATTCTAAATTAGGCAAAAGTGTCGTTATCACCAAAAATACACCAACTTCTCAATCCGGTGGTTATTACTGCAATGTATGTGATTGTGTTGTCAAAGATTCAATAAATTTCTTAGATCATATCAATGGCAAAAAACATCAAAGAAATCTCGGCATGTCCATGAAGATAGAGAGGAGCACATTGGATCAAGTAAGTAATGTATCAACATAAGCATAATATAATCATACTTTATTTTATTACATTATCTAGACAGAGCTTTTCACGAAGAAGAAAGGAATTGTAGTAATAAATATACTAGACATGGAACGAGTAGTGATTCGCTGAGTACTCGGCCTAGATTGGGCTGAGTATTCTACTGAATATTCGGCTTTAAAAAAACGCGGTAGCGGGCGACATGCGGTTATTTCCCTTACAAACTAGACCCAAATAGGCCGAAAAACTAGTGTTTTTGCATTACAATCTTCCTCTCTTAAATTTTAAATATTAGTAATAATCATTTTCTATTATAGTTTCTTATGTACGTTCTAAATATTTCTTCTGCTTCTCATGTTTCTGATATTTTAATGTGTCTAATATAGTAATAATGATAAAAACTAGCTTTTTGTCTTTATTTTTCTTTGGAATATAATTAAGGCCGAGTACTCAGTACGCGGCCATTAATACTCGGTGCTCGGCTGAACCTTAAAAAAAGGCCGAATCCGCCGAGTAGCGAATCCAAACTGAGTACTCATCCCATGTCTAAAATATACACCTATAATGAACATTCCTTTAATGCTACTGCAAATGTTCTGATCTGGGTGTATCTAGAATATACAATATACAGTAATTGCTTTTTTTATGGATATGTTCTCTAAAATTAAATCAAATCTATAATTATACATTTAAACAAGAGCCCTGGTAGGTCAGGGACTAAGCACTTACTGTAAATTTCACAGTACCCTGGCTTGATACCCACTAGCAATAATGAAATTGTTAATTGCAAGTTTTAAGTGCTAATTTACCACATGCTCAGCAGTAAAGGAAAACATTGTGAGGAAACCAGCATGTCTGAGAATTAAGAAAAATGTTTTTCAAAAATTAAATTGTAGAACAGCAGACATTTCCTTGTCCTATAACCCTTTTAGAAATGAGAGGAGGCTTGTGCTCTGCTGTGGTACTTATTTGCTTTTTAACTTTAACTTTTAGCTTTTTATTTATACTTAGATATGAACATAAAAGAGAAAATACACTACTAAGCTGCAAAAAGTAGACTACAAAAACTATGTCTAACTAACACACTATCACTTAGTTACGATCTGCACTATTGTCACATAGAGTCTGTTCGCTAAGATAGTACTGGTACACCTGGATGTGCACTCACTCAATCACCTTTCATGTGTTAGAATAAAAAAAATATTTTAATATTAAATATTTATGAATTAAAATTGACCGACCATCAGTATGACCATATGTGGCAGGTTCCTGCCATTTTGGCAGGATTGGCCTCTTATTTTAGCCTATGGCATGATCGGTTGACGTTTTATAAAACCTGGCAGTATTTGGCAGTATTGGGGTATTAATAATATATTTCATCGTGGCAACTTAAAATGATGAAAATGGTAACCCCTAGATACTTCGCCAGCATATTGGGGGTTTCCCTGTATTTCTCGGTTTCTCGTATTATGGTTGTATACATTCAATAAACAACTTTAAAAAAAATTGTGTATAAAGTTGATAATCTTAACACGAGTTGGTTAATATTTCAATCAGTCATAAAAGAGACGTACTTTTGTTTGGTATAGAATTAGATTTCATTATCACCATAGGTGGCGGTGATGAAGCTAAGACAGGACGATTAGAGCGAAGTGGAAGCAAGATCTTTTATTTCCATCATGTGATATCCAAAGCTGAAGATGATCCAGACTATGTAACTGCAAATTGGCTAGTAAACATCAACAAAATATGAGTGGATTCAGCATGCGAAAGAATATTCTCTAAAATAAATTTAATTAAGACAAAAACACGAAACAGATTTATAAACTAACATGTAGCGTATATCTTGTATGTTAAACAAGCATGGCGATTGCATTGCATTCGAACCAACGAAAGATATGTTTAATTTTAATTTAAAAAATACAGCATTTATATGTGTATTTTGACTTTTATTAGTTTAATAAAATGTTAAATAAAGTTGGCAGTATTTAGGCATTTTTCATTACATATTTTGGCAGGATTTGGCATGTTTTTAACCAAAGTGTGGCAGGATCTGTATTTTAAAGATGGTCACACTGCCGACCATGTCATTGTGAAACTGCTATAGAGCAATATGATCATAATGTGTCTTGTTTCTGTTCCTGTTTTCTTATTCTGTATGGGTAAGTTTGTGTACAGAGTGCATATAGTCCACTTCTCTATTTTAAAATATACTGTATCTTCTCCTTTTCTGTTTTGAGGATTGCAATAGTAAAAACTATAAATTGAAATACATCATGAATTTAATATATTTTTATTTAATTTGTGAAGTAATTTAGTAGTAAGCATTTAAGAATCAAAATGTGGAAACGGTGTCACCCCTGAGGTCTAAGATGGAATATCTCGTTTCCATTAAAAAGGATATCCGGTTCTCTACACTAATCTTATGAAATATATGTTGGTACTCTATGAGACTTATCTGTCTGGTCCTTCCCCGGCCAACCTGTTTGTGTTATTCCTGCCCACACATAAAATACCGTAAAAACTATGCTATTTATATTTAGTACACTTTAATACAATTTCAATAAAAAACTGAACTTCGATGAAATTTCATGGCTCAAATATGTGTAATATTCCTCACATGCAAAATGCGCACTGTAGACATGCAAGTTGCGTAATATAACCTGTTGCTAACTATAACTGTACAATTAGTTACTAGGATGTTTAGACACACTCAACTTAATGTGTTATGCAAAAATTACTAATAATCAAAATACCTATGTTGACATAAATAAATCATGTCCTTTTTTTAACCTTAACCCAAAATTTCTCAACCTTGACCTTGGCTCAGCTGATGACCATTGATAAAATAATAAAATAAAACCAGTATATTTTTTTAAAGATAAATATTCAAAGCATTGCTGCTTAAGCTGATTTAATCAGTGATTACCTGTAGAATACAGTAAAAAAATTAAGTAACAGCCTACATATTATGCAATTGTAATTAGCACAGCTGAATACAGTATAGTATAACTGGACACAGGACTCCTCTTATTTCTGAATGGGTTTTAAAATAGAAAAGAAGTACTGCCCTAATTCTTGTTAATAGTGTATGCATGTTCAATTGCTCAAATTACAAAATTATAAATGGTGCGACATTTAAAAATTTATAATTAGATTTGTTAAGCACAAACAACTTTTTATTTCTTAAGGTTATTTTGGAATAAGTAAATATCCCCGTTCCAAATTTTATAATTTTTATGAAATTGTTCTAAGTAATTGTGAACTTTTTTTATAGAAGTAGGAGTGACGAACAAACACACAATTGACCTAATGTCAATGCTGTGGCCCCATAGACAACTATGTCTATTCTAAATTAAGAATCAAATCAAAATACACAGATTCATTGCCATTGTTAAGGACTAAATTATAATGCCTTGCTGCCTAACTAATAACTAAACTGGAGAAAGAGGACAGCTCCTCCCCCACTCCTTCTTAAATAAGGCGCACCAAAAACATATGATATGCCTTTTTCCACGGCCTCCAACTCCAAGAGACTAGTTATTGTCACTTACTATACAAAACAAAACAGCATTTTTTTGTATAGTATAAGGGTGACAAACGAGCACACAGTCCACCTGATGATAAGTACATCTACATCTATCTACATCTACATCTATCCACGTTTGCGAATATAATGCAGATGAGTTGTCACCCGTGAGGACTAAGATGAAATACCTTGTTTCCAGTAAAAAGGGTCTCCCGGTTCTCTACACTCACCATACGAAATACAGCAGCTTTAAGTTGCTATTTTACACTGTTATTCTGTGAGAGTGTGGTCTTTCCCCAGTCGAACCGATCCATTCGTACTACAACTATACTATTAATATAGCTGCAGCATGGCTCTACAATGTATAATTAACGTGAAGTATCATTATGCTACTTCACGCTTGTAATGTGTGTGTACCAGTCAGATTCTTTTCCGATCTAGTGAATCAATACATGCTGCAGCCACAGTATGATATGTACCAGTGTGGCCTTACCACATCTCACTGTACTCAAATATACTAAAGCACACTACTATACAAACATTAAATATCATTTTTTCAGGTTAAAGCTCGATTCTCATTGAATAAACGAAAATTGGAAGAGAAGAAACGGGAGTATGAATTAGATACGCGATTAAGGGAAGCCGCAGAAGAGGAAGCAAGGTTAAAGGAACTACGTCGAGAAAGACGTCGTGATAAGAAACGCAAATTACAAGAAACAGATGAACCTGATGATACTCCAGCACAATCAGAACTTGCCCAAATTATGGGATTTTCAGGCTTTGGAGGATCAAAGAAGTGATTATTACATGTTATGTGTGTCATATTTTTTCCATATTATATTGTAATTACGAAGGTATATCTTTTATTCCTCATTTTGCTAAAGGTTTTTACGAGTATATTTTTTCGCCATTAGGGTCTGTACACCTTATATTTTTATTGTCCATATTGTATGTAGATCACAGTAATTTATTTTTAAGAGATAAATTTTGTGTGAGCAGGATGTAACAATTTCTCTTTATACCAATTTCTCCTGATATCTATTTTTTTTAAATAGACGTTGCTATTGTTTAAATAATTTCAGAAATTTAAAATATCAGAATCGGATATATTGCTGTGCTGAATACTGGAAGCAATTTCATATACGCGCAACAGTAGGCTTCGCGTTTGTAATTCTCCTGGTGCTGCATTTGTTCACAGGCGGTGGCAGTCACTTACCGTCAGGTGTACCGCATGCTCGTTAACCTCCTCTCATATATAAAAAAAAGTAATAGAGCACCGTGCAACTTTACAAATACATGTGCAGATCCCAAAAGTAGCCGCTTTATAATAATGTCCTCCAGACCAAATTTCGGTCACGACGGCCGACTCAACGGAGACAAACCATCTGCGCAAGATATAATTATAGTGCCCAAGTGCATGCGCAAACACAGGCCCACTCTCTATTCCCTGACTTTCATAATCCTATGGGGCGGTTATCCGACACAACCGGAGAGAGATCAAGCGCAGGACAACGGCAACAGCAACGGCTTTACGTGCTTTCCGAGGCAGAGGGTTGAAACACCGCCAACTTACTGACTCCAGGCTGCTACTGAGCATTTCTTCATTTGCCATTATGTATATTGTTACGGTAACTATTGCGCAATTTAATATACCCTAACCTTTTTTCTTTGGAAATACCTACGCATACGTGCCTCGCGGGGCAAGGACGGGTTATGTCTGACTCGCACCGACTAAAACCTCATGGTGTTCCACTTTCGCCGCATATTGGCAGGGCCACGGAAACGCTTTTGCACACATCCGCGGCCCCACCAGTGCTGGCCACCTGATGGCAGCCCTGCCCGGGAGAGAGAGGACAGCTCCTCCCCCACTCCTTAAGCAAGGTGCACCAGAACATATGGTGCGCCTACTTCCTCCGCGGCCTCAAATTTCACCTGCGCAACGGACGCCTCCGTGTCCGATGCGCGAAGCATGGAAATGCAAGCACTCTGGTTAATATAGCGCATTGCGTCATATTATAGCGCGCTATTTTTCCATAGCGCACAGCTCGTGCTAAGTAAGTAGCCGCTATGGTGCTATGAATATCATGCGTCACCTAGTTTAGTGTTAGACGTTGGTTAGTTAGTGTATATTGTATATAAATAAGAGGTTAGAAGACTACTAAATACGCGATTAATTTCGATAATACGCCTATAATTGACTTATAATTTACATTAATGTTAAAATAACGTTTACGCCTGGAAAGTATGAAGGAGAGTTCATTGCTTCTTTTACTGCTGTATTTTATTTTAGACTAAAATGCGACGTATTAATAATTAATATTCTTGTATAGCACGCGGTTTGTCCAACGAACTCCATGTAATGTAACGTACTACGATATTTAGAGTGCTGGAAGATATTCACGCCTGCCGGTCGCCCACACGCTTTCTTATAAATAGCGCGCTATTGCATAGCGTATTTAATAGCGTGTTAAAAATTCATAGCTTATAGTCTGTAGCGTGCTATTGGTTTATAGTCGTTTTGAACAACTCTACTCAGAAGCACTAGCCTTCCTGGCCCCAGCAGCGGATGTGGTCTATGGGTCAGCCGCCAACCATGATTCGGCTGCGGCGTTTAAGAAATGAGGCGCTTCGTAATACCGTCACCCCTCTCCCACCGCAGCCCAACCGCCACCGTATCGACGTTGCGGCCCCGTCAGAGTTGTGGATCACTCCTCTCTCTTCTTCCGCTACTCCACCTGGGCTGCGAGGGACCCCTCTCACCGCAGTCCACCACAGGCCAGTTATGTGCATTCCTCTTAGTTCACCGTGGGTGACCAAACCATGGCCACTAAGACCCCCGCCACGACAAGTTGGGTACCCGTTCAGGGGGATGGGGGTGTGATAACCTAACCATGTAATAAATGAATGACGAATATATCAAATCTGAAAATAACAAAAAAACAATAAAAAATATAATGGAAGGGAATAACCACTTTACAGTATCAAATAGCAGCAATGGGGTTTATTCCCATTGTGTTTAATTGTTAAATATGTGAAATCAAAAATCCAAACAGTTTTTTTTACGTGGTAGATGCTGCAGCTATCTTAATAGTATAGTTGTTGTTCGAATGGGTTGGCTCGACCGGAGGAGGACCACACTGAAAAAATGGCAGCTCAACTCTGCTGTGTTTAGTATGGCGAATGTAGAGAACCGGAGACCCTTTTTACTAGAAATGAGGCATTCCATCTTAGTCCTCAGGGGTGAAAACGCATCTGCATTTTAATTCGTAATCGAGGATAGATGTAGATGTCTATGGGTCACAGCAACCACTTACCATCAGGTGGACTATGTGCTCGTTTGTCATCCTTATACCACTTATACTAAAACAAAAAATCTTTACCTTGCCCAATAACTAACGGACTTTATTCATAAAAAGCCAGGTCTATTTAATTATTTTTATAGTTTTTATCAATATGATAAAAGCTCGTATTGGGCATTATTCAAACTGTCTGGACAATATGATGATTTGCCCTAATTAATCACTTGGTCCGTAACATATCCATTTACTATTACAATACTGAAATTCCACAGACTGGTGATGAGAAGCGTCATTACCAGTACAAGGATATCGACTTTACTCTCGCCAACGTTGTTGCTTGTCCAAGGTTTAAAGTGTGGACAAATCTATCAAGGTAATCATGCCATCGAGGGCAAGATGTCTTTGTAGGTCCTATATCTCCAGCATTACCTACTCGTTTAAGGTAATAAATCTGTAGAAAAATTGTGTGTCCACTCTTCACACAAAAACTACCATGTAAATGATCGTGTGTGTCATATTATATGCAACTCATTATCCGCTTACGGAAGAGTAAAATAGGATGGTTATGTTTTATCCTTTTTTTTAAGTTCTAGTAGTCATGAAGCGGTTTTAGCTAAACGTATAGGTCTATAGAAAATAATGTATGTGAAAATGAAACCCATCGCGCCACCAACGTATACGTGGTAGAGCCAAGCTACAGCTATATTTATAATATAGTTGTAGCGCGAATGGGTCGGCTCAACCGGGGAAAGGACCACGCCTCTCACAGAATACCAGCGTAAAATAACAGCTTAATGCTGCTGTGTTTCGTATGGTGAGTGTAGAGAACCAGAGACCCTTTTTAATGGAAAAGAGACATTCCATCTTAGTCCTCAAGGCTGACAACGCATCTGCATTTTGACTCGCAAACGAGGATAGATGTAGATGTCTATGGGCCACAGCAACCACTTACCATCAGGTGGACTGTGTGCTCGTTTTTCACCCTATTTCTATTAAAAAAAAACCAACCAGAAAGGGCAGAACGACGTCTGCCGGGCCAGCTAGTTTTAAATAAATGTTGATAAAGCAAAAGATCTTTCAGACAGAAGTAGGTACATACACAATCAATTTGATGCGAAGTTGACGTCATTTAATGGCATCTATTGTGATGCATAATACGAGTACATTTTTCATGTGGGGGAAAAAGATCAGTGTTACACAAACACGCAACGTTTAAGTTAATTTAGTACAATCGAAAACATTTTACTTCAATTTTTATATATTTATTTACCTATTATAAGCCAGTACTTGACTACAATACTGTTCCACTTGATTGCAAGTGGAGATGTAGCCGGAGATTGTTATGAACATTGACTTAGCTTTACAAACGCTTAAATACACCCACATTATAATTCGATGGAAAGATGGTCGCTGCTAATTATTCCACTGTTTTACTATATGCATTAAGAACGACGAAGCAGTGTTTGGTTCGAATGCGTACAGTATGTCGACAACAAAGGACTGAATGCTTGCCAAGTGTCTGGTTGTCCGATAGTGGAAGGGGGACTCATTTGCAGTGAAGAGAGCTTGTGTTTTCATACAATTGCTTTATGTACCTCTAAATTTAATGCAAATAAAGCAGAAACCTTTGCTCCGTGGAATCCATGCGCTGACGCTGAACCTTGTAAAGAGATTCTACACGTCAAAAAAGTTTGCGATCAGTTTGAAAAATCGAAATCTTTTTTGTTGCGGTAAACTTTATTATAATTTCTTCTTTTTTTTAGATTTTTTACTTAAAAATGTAGAACTAGAATATAAAACATATTCAATTGTTTTTCTATATAAAAAGAATTGGCCGCGTAGTGGCGGTTAAGAATATCCACTACCCCATATCTTCCCGTGGGTGTAGTAAGAGGCGACAGTTGGAAACAGGCAGGAGATTGGAAACAGCTACTTCCTGATTCCTGGACGGTCCCCAGTCCCCGGCGGGCCCGCTATTCCTGGCTACGGTGGCGACCAAGGTAACGGCGGAACAGCGGATGCTAAGAACCTCCGGTGGAGGTTCGGTTGCCAACTACGACGACTCGACCTGGCAACATACAACGCACGCACCCCGAGGACTGACGAGAAGATCCTAGAGCTGGAGAAGAGATAGACAAGTTACGCCGGGATATTATAGGATTATCTGAGGTCCGAAGGGAGGGCGGCCATCTGTCCCAAGGAGGTGTCGGATTTATCGTCATCAAGTCTCTAGTTAACAACGTTGTAAAGATTATGAGTGTGTCGACGAGGGTTGCGTACCTTACACTCAGAATCGTCAAGCGGTATTCGTTAAAGGTCATACAGGTTTACGCACCAACCTCGGCACATCCCGATGAAGAGGTGGAGGAAATGTATGAGGATATCTCTAAAGCCATGCATTCCTCCAAAACCCACTATACGGTGTTAATGGGAGACTTCAACGCAAAACTAGGCACAAAAGAGAACGGTGAGCTGGCCGACTTCATGGAGAAAGAGGAATT